ATCAGGTTTTTGTAGTCTGAGTGAAGTCCTGTTTATCCTTGAAGAAATTTTACAAACTGCAGCTTTGATTAGGAGGAGGAGAGGGCACTAATAATGAGGTCAAAACACTTAAACATTACTCCGGTAGAATCAAAATTAGCTGCGCCGAACAGTTAAAGTTTATAATTACATCTTCTGCAAGACTTTTCCAAGTAGCAGGTACATTTGATGGCACCCCTTCATCCAGCCTGTCCTAGTCTACAATGAGCGAGAGGCAGGCACGCCCATCAACAAACCTGTGGCCACTTTTATAGGTGGTGAAAGAAAACTGGACGAACAGAGGGAAGCCATACAGTCACAAACTGCCCCAAAGTGTCACAAACGCCTCACTGGAAGAGCCGATTCAACCCTGAACCTTTTTACTGTGATGTGCATTTAAAATACTTCATTAACTGAAAGCAGACTTGCTGATTGTGGAATGTGCAGTGTTTGCTTATGAGGGAAGATGCATTATTACATATAAAACCAAGGCTGGATTACCTTGACCCCGAGGGACTCGGAAATTCCCTGGTTCATTGAATGTTAATTAGTTTTGGTGATTTGATTAATGGTGCGTTTGTTAGCAAATTAGCACAGCTAAAGTACAATACCTAAGAAAGTGGGGGGTGGTATTGTTTTGTGAGTGTTTCGGGCCTTTTAAGCAGGGAAGTATGCGTCAAACTAATATCTGGGGGGTAGGTAATAATTTGCAGAATATATGACGGTGATGGTGTCTGGTGAAATAATGAGACAGTGCTGTATGTATGTATTAAAGAAATATTGGTTTCTCGCAATACAGTCAAGAAGTTTGGTCTAAAGATAAGAAAGTTCACCTACATGCACCTTTAAAACAAACAAACCTGACCAAGAAGAGTACCCCTGAAACTACAACTGGTTGTTTTTACACTCTGTAATTTGTATGTTTAATACATATACACAGTGTAATAGGTTGTGAACTTTACAGGTGCTGGTGTGCAAACATTAAGGCTAGCTGTTTCACCATTTCCAGTCACATGTTAAGCTAAGCAGTGGCCTATAGTTTCCTATTTACTGTATGAGAGCGTTCTCAATCTTCTCCGCTAACTGACGTGGTTTCTTCCTAATCTTAAATTGACCCTCATGCATATTTTAATAAGATCTGAAGGCAGGGGGTCAAGGACGTAAACAACATGAAAGCACAAATCCATCCTGCCGTGCATCAGGGGTTCAGGTTGTTGGTGGTGTAATGGGGTGGGGGGATATTTTCTTGGAACATTTTGGACCTCTTCAGTACTAAATGAGCATTGGATAAGTGTTTATTTATTATTCCGAAAGCTCAAGACAGTGCCAATAGTTCAGTGATATTTTGCTAAATTACAATGTGGAGACTCTGCAATAATTTAACAGAAGTGCTTATTTTTCACTTGAAATTTTTTTGTGGTCATTTTTATTAAGATATTATTTATTATCGGCAGAGAATAAAACAAAACCTGTCTTCCAATTCATTGCATTTGTGTGTGTGTGTGGTAGAAGTATCGGTTTTTGTACTCTGTATCAGCAAGTACTCAGATCCAAGTATCGGTATCGTATCGGTTTGAAAAAATTGGTATCGTTGCATCCCTACCTATAACCTACATTTATCTACAGTAAAGAGCAACAATACAGCAACACCATGTTCTTTATAACTTTATAACCTGCTTCCAGCAGGATAACACACCATGTCACAAATCTTAGATGATCTCAAACTGGTTTCTTGAACACGACTGTAATCAAACGACCTCCATAGTCACCAAATCTCAATGCAGAGAGCACCTTTGGGTAGTGGTGGAACAGGACACATCATGGATGTGCTGTGTGATGCTATTTTGTCAGTATGAGCTGATGACTTTGTAGAATATACCGTATGTCACAAAGACTTCAAGCATCTCTGAAGGCAGAAGGAGATCCAACCTGGTACTAGCAAGGTTGTACCTCATGAATCAATCGATGAGTGTATACATGTGTTGTTGCCATAGTTTTGTCCCATCTGCATTTTTTATTATTACAGCATAGTTTGATCCATTTATAGCAAGTTATTTTTGTGTCTCTTGACTATGGGCCATTGACCTTAATTAAACCTCAGGTTGAGAAACACTGCTGTTGTGAGATTATAGATCATTAGCCACCAAAAAGACAGCAAAGGAATAATTGCACAATTTTAATGTCACACAGTTATGTAGTTCCTTGGTTGTTTGTGTCATTAGTCACAAATTCTTGAAAGGAAAAGAGAGTTTTTTAATCTATTTCAGTTTAAAAGAAGACAGGAGAGGACAGATTTACCCAATCAGGTTTTTTATTTGGAACAGAGTGGCAGATTAGTGACAGGGCGGTGGCGTGGAGGATCCGCCTCCTTTCGCTCACTCAGCCAATGACAGAAACTCAGCCTTAAAAAATGCAAATGTATAAAAACAGGAATGGGAACAGCAAACATAGAGTAGTGTAGCCTCCACTGGGCTTCACACACACACAAACACACGCTCACACGCACACTCTCAAACATGCACACTAACACTCACACACACACATACAAATTTACCCTCTTTCTCTCAGACACGCACACACGTCTTATTTGGCTACGCAGGCTTAAATGGCTACAAACGCACACGTTTACACTTTGACAGTCACTTTTAGAAAAGACAGTACGTGTTTATATCATTCCTGCCTGTGAGAAAGTGGCGTGTTGTCTGTCCATCTGTCCTGCGGCAGACAGACAGGTAGACAAGTCAGACAGACAGTGAAAAGACACGGTCAGTGTGTGTGATAGCCACTGTGAGGGACGAGCCGCCCCACATTCAGCAGTGAACAGACTAAACACACCCTCACGCACGCAGAAACACACGCACACACACACACTCGCGTCGACAGGCTAGTCAGTGTACACAAGAGTCTGCTGTGAAATATCAAGGTGAAGCACTCATGCATACGCAAACACACAGGTAGCAGGTTTAGATGAGGTGCAGACACGGGCGCGCACAGGTATTCTTGGACTGGCGACGGGAAGGAGGGAGGGAGGGAGGGATGGAAGGAGGGGGCCCAGGTAACTACACACACAGGAGTGGAAGAGTTGTGTTACCTGCATGTGGAAGAGCGTGAGAACTGCTGGAGTAGGTAAACAAACACTCGACCACAGTACATTCCAGCTTTAACTCGCCCCTCTCTTCTTTTAAAGACGCACACTTGGACAGAAAAAAATGCACACACACTCACACACACACACAGACAGAGCCATCCGCACACACCCAGACGAGTATAGTTTTGACTCCCATGCATTTTTGTTCTACAGTACTGAGTATAATAGAAGCTACTAGCCCAGTCGCACTGGTGTGTTTATTGTTACAATCTCTTAGATAGAAGCACAGCCCGCCTGTCTCCTCACGTTGTCCCCTCCCCTCCCCCAAAATGCTCCCACGGCAGGTTAACGTTGACCTCATAAACACTAATTCATTTTCCTCTCATAACCAAAGCTCTAACGGCAAATGTTATGACTGAATTAGTGCACGTGGGAGCAACTTTAAAAAAAAAAAATTTTCATTAAAGCCCCTCACACTTCCAAGAGGCCCCTCCCATCCCCAAACAGAGAGACAATGATGGAAGAAAGAAAAAAAAAATCATAAGGTGAGGCATGCAAAAGGGTGTGTGCGTTTATGGCTGTGTGTGTATGTGTGTGTGAGAGGGGTGGGGTGGAGGGCGTTTATCGGATGATGGCCGGACGTGGAGTTGTGCTTTTACACAAACAGACCAAACTCTAAACCAACCGGCAACTGATCGATAACTAACCAATAACATTGAAACCACCTGATCTTGCTGGAAATCACAAGTGATGACTATCACTATGACGACGATGATGATGGCGATGACGGCGACGAGGGGTTCGATATGCGCTCGTGTGATATGATTTACAGTCTACTTAACGTCGGCGCGGTGTGTTTCAGTGCGCTGCGAGTTTTATTTCAGCTGTTGTGTGTTTGGTGTGTGTGTGCGTGCGTACGTGTGTGTGTGACAAGAGCACAGCTCATCTAAAGGGATGACGTGATGTGATGGATAAAAACTCTTCATGGTCATGCAGATGGTTAGTGACGCCAGAAAGGATACGCTGATATTTACATATAAACTTTTTTCTTTTTTTAAACTGCTAAATACACATCCTCCAGTTTATTATTATTATTACGGCATTATTATCATCATCATCATCATTATTATTATTGTTCACCATCCAGCCCAAGAACATTGATATATTATTGATTATTATTACTATCCATAACTAGTCTTTATACAGCTTAGAGGAGCAGAGGGAGGGGGGCCTGCCGGTGTCTCCGCAGCGGCTCCTTGACGTTGTGAAACACGCCGAGCGCTGAGCACCGTTTTCTGGTTGGCCGAGCACAGAGCGAGAGGTCAGCGCCACCTTCGAGCAGATACGAGTGTGTGTGTGTGTTAGCGTGTGTTTATGCGTGGCTTTGTGGACGTGCGTTTGTGTGTCTTTGAGCACCAGATTGACGGAAGGCACACAAAAGAGACCTTTCCTCTCACCTTTGACCCCGGGCTCTGTGCGGCCAACCAGACGCTCTGTATGGTTTTGCTTTTTTTTTGTCCTTTTTTTTAAGTGTATGTGTAGAGTGGGGGTGGTGGTGGTGAGAGGCAGAGTAGAGCCCGATCTAATAGTTAGTCTGTCCATAGGCTCACTCCACCCGTCTCCACCCGTCTCCACCCCTCTCCTCTCCCCTTTCAGGCCTTTTTTTCAGATTTGCTCCGTTAAAAACAGAAGAGGATCTCTCTCTCTCTCTCGCTCTTTTTGTGTGTGTGTGTGTGTGCTGGAAAACACAGGTTGCAAGAGCATGTGTTTTGTTTTGTTTGTTTTCTTACAAAATAATCATATCATTACATACAGAACAAGAGAATCTGTAGAATATTAATAACAACATTTACTTTAAAAACATCTCGCGTGTACGTGTTATTTTTTTTCTGAATATATTTGGATTTTTTTTTTTCCTTTTTTTGTCCTCTTTTTTTCTCGTTTTCTTTGAAAAGAAGGTTCCAAGTCCGCAGAGAGAAAGGCGCTCTCAAGTATGGAGACGGGAGGAGAGAGGGATGAGGAGACCCGAGCAGATAAGGAGGGTGGGGGGAGAAGAAGAGGAGTAGGAAGGATGGAGGAGGAGGAGGAGGAGGAAGGGCAGGACTTATAGAGTATCTTTCGCTCTTCTCTTGCTCGCTCTTTCTCCCTTCCCGGTGTGCGGCGTGTCTCTCTGGCGTGTCAGTGTTATGCATAAAACTCCTCCTGCTTGTCCGGTTTCTGGTAGGTGACGGTGGCCTGTTTGGGTTCCTCCAGCGTGTAGCTGCCCTCGTCCTTCTTCTTCATCCTGTACACCAGCAGCATCACCAGGAAGGCAGCGAACAGGGCGCCCACCACGCCTCCCACTATCACCGCTGCAGCGAGATGGAAACAAGAGTTAGTCGTGTCAAATTTGCAGCAGATTAGATGCTACAAACACTCAAACACACGCAGAGACAAACACTAAAATGCCATTAGAGCCGCTGGCACGTCTGCGGCCGACTATGAAACAACACGGAGCTGCTTTAGAAACACTTCTAGCAAATCTACCACAGCGTCACTACCACCTTCCTGCTAAGTGAAGACGGATGAGCCCGAATGTGCCAAAATACATTCTGTGCTGCCAACCACTTTGTGTTAAAACTGCAGCCCTGCAGTGCCACATAGCAGTTTAACCCTGTGGGGGCTGCCGGGGCCAATCAGCAGCAGCTGCTTTGTTTCCCACCGTCCTTTGCTTCCTCTGCTTATCTTGTCGAAATGGTTAAAAACGCCCTCATTACAGTGACTGGCATCCACACCAAAAGCAGGAAACAAGCGCTTTGTTTCCATTCTTTGCGTCGGGAGAGTTTACTTTGTTTATCTCCATTTCTGCTGAAGGGATTTAATTAATGCAGTTTTTCCACCGCGTACTTTCACCGCAAAACGTATTCCCCTCGTCTGCCTCGTCGCACCGTTTTACGTAATTAAATCTTCTATAAGATTTCAGTCGGTTTTGTCTTCTTTTGCCCAATCATGCAGTGCGTAACTACAGTCTGTGCGTTTCACCGTGTCTCTTTATCTCACCGTCTCTGATTTTGTTTATACTCAGACTTAAGGAATGTTCACTGCACCATTTCAAGTTGCTGTCAAGATAGCACATAATGAACCACTTGTCCGCGAATTCATAATATCAAGTCATCATTAAGACGAATGACTAAATCAAGGATTTTAGTCATGCTGGTGGGGCTGGGCCATGGATGGCATTGTCATTCAGCCCATCTGTCCACCGCTTTTATCCAGAATTAAATTGGACAGAATGGCCTGAAATTTGGCGAGGATACTGATGTTCCCCTCGGGATGAATTGTGTCAACTTTACTGAGCTCGCTGCATTTCTGAAAGCAAAGAAATTATAATTTTATTCCAAAAAATTTTGTTTGAGTTTAGTTCTGAATAACAAGTGGTACCCAGCCGATGTGCAAGACAGCAATAATATATTTAGCATGTTCGCAGTAAAGAGGACCTATTATGTTCTTATCCTTCTCCTTTTTTCTTCCATATACAGTCATGCAAAAAATAATGCTTTCATACCGCTCGAAGCTTTCCTATGAAAAGCTGAAAATACCTCATGATTCAGTAGATTGTAGATTCACCTTTAGCAGGAATGAGTGGAAGTAATTGTTTCCTGTATCATTGTATCAGTCTCTCACATCATTGTGGGGGATTTTTGGTCCACTCTACTTTACAGTGTTGTTTTAGTGCATTGAGGTTTGCAGGTTTATGCCTGTCATTTTCATGCCGGCCATTGAAGCACCTTGATTATTTTCTTTTTGAGCCATTCTGTTGTAGGCTTGCTTTGTGCTTGGGTTCGTTGTCCTGTTAAATTGAAGTTTAGCTGTTAGACAAATGTTCTCACATTTGATTCTAGAATAATTTGTCATACAGACAAATACATGCTTTCCAAAGGTCTTGTGTAACCTTTCCAAACAAGCCACACTTTTTCAGTCTTTATTTAATTGTACTGTGATGAACTTTAACATTTAACACACTAACTTAAGCATGTAGAGTCTGAGATGTAGCTCGTAGGTTGTTTTTTGGGGGTTTTTGCAGTTTCTCTGAGCATTGCACGGCAGTATGCTTGCATACCTGAATGCTCCAGATCAGGAAAATGCCCAAACTTATGCTCTCACTTGCTGATGATCAATTTATGCATTATGCATTTGATTAGGAGCAGCTGGCTGCTATTGACCTTCTTAACTCTTATTAAAGCAGTGAGAGTGTTCTTAGTTTTTCACATGACTGTATATGTTGTTAGAATAGTAGATGCTCGTATTACTTATAGCCAAAGTTTAATAATAATAAAGCCAGTGTGCGTACCGATAATCAATTTGAGTGAAAAGCTCAGACTTCAGCCAGGCTTTTTGTACTGCTGTCTCTTTATAACATCAAACCAAACCAAACCTGTGTTTACAAGTGGCAGCCAATCAGAAGAAAGCTGGCTTAAAGGGGGAGGAAGCTAAAACACCCTTTTTTTCAGATTTTGGTGCTAAAAGGGCTCTGTCAATGAAAAGCTGCACTACACTAATACACGTCTACTGTCTAGTCTAAAATATGTTGCCTCCTGCTCTTTACCGATGAACAGGAAATCAGCGAAAACCACAGCCAGAAGTCCACCAATCAGAACGGCTGAAGGAGAAACAGAGAGCCAGTCAGGTCAGGCAAATTGGCTGCTCCTTTCTTTTCAACAACAGCTCTTTGGGATGAGGAATAGGGGGCACTTGAAAAGGAACTGGATTTAGCCAAAGGGGAAAAGGATGAGAAAAAATAGGGGGGGAAAGGAGGGGTTGGATAACCCGAGAAGAGGATCTCTTGTTCTCAATGGGTCAAACGGGGCTAAGCAGGACATTCTGTTATGGTGATGAATCTGCACTACGTGAATGCAAGGTGATGCCAGATTGTCAGAGCAGCTTCCTGAAAGCAGGGAAAGAACACAGGAGGCAACTGGGAAATGTGTTCTGCCAGTCTAAGGGGTGATTAGGAAGACATGCTCAGAGACAGACAGGTGGATGAAAAGGGCTCGAATTCAGACACGACACACATGGAAGCCATTTGCATGATCTTTAGTGATGGATAATCTTACCTATCAAGACCTCTTTTCTCTCCAGGATGTTCTTCTGCGGCAGCTGGGCCGCGGAGCTGCCTCCGTCCACAGAGTTGCCGATAAGATCAGGTCCACCCGCCATTTCGCTGCCAAGATTATTGCGGCGTCCATCCATGATTTCATAATCTCCACTTGGTCCTGCAGCACCCACTTCGTTGGTGCCCTCCTGAGATGGGGAACGGAAAGTGAGACCAATGAGGAAACTTACATTTGATGTAATCCCATTTCCTCCACCGAGCCGCTGCACTGAAACGCATCCAAACCAACACAGAACTTTCCATGGCACATGTTCGCCTTTAAAACAATGAGCCTCTGTATATTAGGATGGGAGAGAGCTGCAGATTGTCCAACCCATCCAGTATACGCACAAAATCTGGCAGCTTAATTATATGTGGAAAACCAGAAAAATCTAAATGGATCGTGGTTTAATGCAGTTTCTGTGATTAACCAAAAGCACATGTGTCAGAGAAATGCCTCTGGTCTCGAATAACGAAGAGGCAGTTAGAAGAAGAGCCATTAAGTTCACAAATGAACATTTTTCATCTCGTTTGCCTAATACTGCCTGACATGAGCTGAGTCCTACCTGTGTTGTTGTGGGCTGCTGTGGGCGGGTCGTCCTCTCTGTTGGCACCGCCTGAGTCGTTTTCATCATGGGAACCCTGGGCCTGAAGGGGGTCCTGGTCTTGACAGTGGTAGCAGTGGTTGTTGCAGCTGTGGTGGGCTCAGGGGTTGACTCTGGTGTGATGGACATGTCTTCTTCTGTAGTGGTTTCGTCAGTGAATCCTGGGTAAAGCAAGCTGGGCTCTGGCGAAAGGTAGATGTCTTCCTCTTCTTCTGTGGCGCTCAGGTCATCTGAACCAGCAGAGGGCGCTGCACTTTCAGCAGGACTGGCTGCAGGATTGGTGGTGAACATAGGAACGGCAGCAGGGGACCGGGGCGCGGCAGTGGTCTTGGCGGCGGCCCGGATTCTCTCCAGCTCTCTCTCACGTTCCCTCTCTCTCTCCCTCTCTCGCTCTCTCTCCCTCTCCCTCTCTCTCTCCCTCTCCTTCTCTCGCTCCATCTCTCGGACACGCTCCCTTTCCCTCTCCCTTTCTCTCTCCCTCTCCTTTTCCAGCTCCAGCTCCCTCTCCCTCTCCAGGTCCCTATCCAAGAACACGCCGCTCTCTCCCTCAGCCTCAGTGAGAAGAGGGGTGGTCGTCGGGTCCTCTGGGTTGGGGCTAGGCTCTGCTGCAGGCGGTGCAGAGGGAGCGAGGTCGGTTGCTTGGGTGGTGGAGAGAAGTAGGGGTTCCTCTGTGGTGAACGTGACAGCTACTGATGTTGGCCTCATACCGATCTCAGGAACTGAAGAGGAGAGAATTAGAACAAAAAATGAAATAAGACAAGAATTTGAGTCAAATTTGACACAGTCACTCCATCACAAGCCACCACCCGCCCACCCACACACACACACACAGATAACAGTAGATCAGAAACTGAGACTATTGCTGGCTCATTCACTTCACACTCAGTAGTTTACTCTCTAGTGACACTTCTGACACTTAATCTGATTAGTCTTACTCAGCCAGCAGATTGCATCGTCCCTAACAGGTGTCCCCGGTGTATATCCCTAATACCTAAAGTTCCCCTGATGGCTTACTTGATGGGCTGCAGTAGAAAATAAGAAGAGATGTGTAATGGAAGAAAGAGAGGAGCATACAAGGTCTGATACGGCTGTGCTGTTCTTCATGCAGCATCATTAATCCTGTCATGCCTAAGAATGGCGAAGCATGTCATCACATCTGAAAATCACTGAAAATCAATGCTTAAATACTGTATGCCTCATCACCGCAGGATCCACTATGATCACAGAAGTTGCACCGAGCAGAATGATGTCTTTAACTATCTGTAATATCTGAAACTGCAGCCGCACAGGTTTAACGCTGCTCGAAGGCAAGAGGTGTCGGGATCGATCCAAATATCCATAGTACCGATATCAAATATGCATCAGTACTGGACTGGATTGATACTTTGTTTCTATCGTCTAACTTCAGTAGCTCAAAGAGCTTTATGCTTAATAAACTATTTTCTTGGAAGAGAACGGAAGATAAACCGAAATGCTTTAGAGGCGGGCACAATTACACTCCTGATGTCCAAAAAAGTTTTAAAATTGTTTCAAAATAGAAGCTGAAAGAGTGTTTTTTTCTTTTGTTAGCTAAGTATTGTGGAAAGTACAAATCACAGTGGTTTACTCATCATTAAAACCTGTTCAAAATTTGAAAATTGATGCTAATTCATCTCATAAATCATTCAACACCCTGTATTTAATTGGTATCGGATCGATACCCAGGTTTGCAGTATGTGCAGCAGTACCAAGGACCATCACCAAAACAGACAGCATTCACATTGTTGTATTTTTATAGCTTTTAATAAGAGAATGTGGCAAAAGTTGCCTTCAGAGTTTTCTGAAAAGCGTCCAAGCAGGTGGGTAACATAGCAAAAAGGGCTTAATTTAACCTAAACTATCATTTTGCCTAAATTAAACCAAACTGCAAGCGAAAACTGAAAATAAATAAATGAATAACCCAGCTAAGTCTGCACTGGTAACTCACATGGGAGATGAGCCCCAGTCTCCTGGATGAATCACACACACTAATCAACCTACAACCATCCCCATAATTTGCAGTCAACAGCAAACGTGATCCTAGAGCAACATTTATTATGACGTTGCAGGAACAAGTCAACATGGTGACATCGTGTCTAAACTTGTAAGGCTTCCACATGAAGCTGAAACTAAGCTCCTCAACCAAAGGCTTTCCATAATGCAGCACGTTAATATGTTTTATTAAGATACACCTTCCCTGGTAAACTGCCCACCTTTCAGACTCCAAGGCCAACCATTTGAGGTTTGAGGAACCCCAAGCTTGGGCAACCATCATGACATCATCCCCAGCTCTTAAGCAGCAATTAATTTGTCCTTGACTACACATGCAGCTATCTGCTTTATTCATCAATAATCCCTTCGGTAATTTTTAAACGCTAAGGAAAGATTTTCTGTAGAACTACAAAAAGCATCATTCAGCTTTTTTTTCACAGCCAGCTAACAAACAAACTAACAAACTGGGATTTATGAGTACAAGTGTCTCCGCCTCCATCTTTCCTTTAAATGTCAGCAACACAACAGCACACACAGAGAGTGCTTAACTATGTTTGGTTTGTTTGGGGTTTTTTTGGTTGCTTTTTTAAATCGCTTATAAAATAGTGAATGTAATGATGACTTGGCACTCCAATTAAATCGCCATTTTCTGCTCATTTAGCTGTCTGACAGCAGAAACTTAACAATGTGTACACGAGAACGACTGCTGCAAATTATGAGTTCAGCTGTGTTAAAAACCCAGAGAAGAGAAGAGAAGAGAAGAGAAGAGAAGAGAAGAGAAGAGAAGAGTGATTCATTTTCTTTTTAAATCTCATAATGCTATTACTCCACCCCACCTTTCATTCTGTTATAGCAGTGAAGCTCTTTGGGTTGAAAGAGAAACAAATTGAATTTACAGGCACAAAAACACGAAGGCTGTAGTGGAGGTGGAGAGGATATCGAAATATGGACTCCAACAATGCAGCTTCTGTTAAACACATCAGACACCACAACAAGAAAAAAAGAAAGAAAGAAAGAAACTGGATGGCTCTGAAGCAGCTGTGACACAAAATGAACATCTGCCTGTTAAAAACGAGCCCTTTCTTTGGGCTCTGTAGTTCGGTTTGAGCTTAAGCAATTTGCCAGGCTGCTGTTTCAGCCACAGGGGGTGCCTCTGCTACACTCTCCTGCTTTGAATGGTAATTTATTTTGAGCGTGCTCGCCACTAGCGCAGCGCCCGAACTGAGGGCAGCCCTCAATGAGTCATGCTTAATAAGGGGCGCCGCGCTCAAGCTTCGACAGCAAGATCAGAAAATCAACCTGAATTACAGCAATGTGATTTACATTAAGTAGGTAATTCCTACAGCCCAGCTCGAGCACGGGCCGCACGCTCGCACATAGGTGCCCGCGACACACTGGTGTGCGTGTGATCGTCTAATCTGCATGGACTGTAATCTGATTAGAGTAAATAAGATCTCGGGGAACTGAGCTTCAGTTAATGCTTGTTTGTAAGGGGTGTGTCTGAGGAATTTTCTTAATAAATCTGTTCCCGAACTTCTCAGTCGAGCCACACGGCATGTTTATGTGGTGTGACTTTGGGTGTGTGTGTGTGTGTGTGTGTGTGTGTGCATGGCCTCCACGCATGTGTGTCTGGTGAATAGAGGAGGGACTGTGGGGGTCTTCGGGGTCAGCAGATTGAAACCCGACAGCTGTTGAGTCTGAAAGAACCAGGGCATGAGTGTGTAACCTCACACACACACATAGATATATATATATATACACTTACAGCCAGAGCCAGAGCCCGAGTAGAGATCCTCGTCGTCGTAAAATTCATCTCTCGCCGACCCTTCGTCATCGATAGGCAGCGACCACTTCTGTCCCTGTTAGACAGAGAGATTACAGATGACTGAGAAGTTTGTCATTTCATTTGAAAGAGAAACCACTTTTGCAGATTACACACACACACACACACACACACACACACACACACACACACACACACACACACACACACACACACACACAGAGTTGTCTGGTGCAGCTGCATTATGTTGGACAGGGGAACATCTGTCTGTCTGTGGCTCTATGGAGGAGCATAGTTAATGAGTTGATCTAAAGCTGGGATTTTGGCAGTGGAACATCAAAGCTTTTAAGGAGAGAAGAAGGGGGTGGGCGGGTGGTGGTGGTGGTGGGGGTTTCCATTTTGTCTCTGCGTATGTGTCAATTGCAAGTGATGCTCGGCCCGTAAAGCAGCAAAGCAAAGGAAAGCAATTAACTTCTGAACTTCGTTCCATTACGGATTAATAGGGTAATATTTTTCAATATGAAGTGTTCGGTATTTAAAATGATAGGAAGTACTTATTTTTACACTTACAAAGCAAACGTGATATCTTTAAATTGCTTGTTTTGTCTGAGCGGCAGTCCAAATAAGACGGTTTGAAAATTACTGAGAACGGAGGCCAGCAGCAGCAGGCACATTTCAAGCAACCAGAGCAGGAAAATGACACCAGTGCTTCCTGCCTGCTGTGACACAGAGCTGGCAGAAGCATCTGACCGATTAAAAATCACGAAAGTTTCTAAAGTTTATTCCTACAGACTCGTGAATGTCTGCACCAAATTTGAATGGAAATCAATCAGACACTATTGAGATACGTCAGCAGTCGAAAACCCAAAAATCTATTCAGTCTACAAAAATGTAAAACGGGAGACAACGTTTAGTTTGATGAATGGCCTGAGAGGATCACAACTGTCCGCAGATCACTTATCGCCATCTCAAAATAATTATGTGGCTCGGAGGTGAAAAATATCACCCCCCCCCCCCCCCCCCCACACACACACACACACCCTGTCTGAAATGTGCTCATAACTGTCTTGCGGATCATTTCACAGCGTCCTCCCTTCTCATCACTCCAGCTTAATCCAAGCCTCCTCCACGTCAGCCCGCGAGGAGGAAGCACAAGCACGCCGACCCCCACCGGGGTCAGGTAGGGGAGATTAGTGAGGGATCATTCAGGGGTTGAATCTCTGAAGTGAACGACCTCAGCCTCCGTTCACTTTGAGGCTGATCCCTCCTCCTCTTCTCTCTCTTCCTTCATCCCTTTCTCTCGACCTGAATCCCACATCCGTGCGATGTTTAAACGCACACTTTAGCACTCAGAGATTTTTCCCATCACACAGGGTCAACTAATGCTGCTATCGAGTGCATGCACTTAAGAGATGCCGCACGCGCTGCAGTGCAAAGATAGATTCGACCTACAGAGGTGTTTATGCACAGTCAGGAACGTCAAATATTTACAGACCGCCTTTCTATACTGACTTTTATTCACATGCTAAATATTTTACCTGTTTTTTTCAATGATTAAATAGTTGGAAAGTTCACATCGAAGCCGAGTCCCTTTCATTTTGACAAAAACTGTTTTTATGCTAAATATCTTAAAGCGTTTACTTAAAACGATCTTCCAACGATTTAAACACGTACTGCATTGTGTGTGTTTGTTAAAAGATGTAATTTTCTGTAACGGAGATTCTGCTACTTGGGGGCAGCTGAACAAGAGGCCAATGCAACCGAGATTTTATCTGCTTCTCAAGTCGATGTGTTCACACTGCTGGCAAACATTTGCTTATTTGCATATCAAGCAGGCGTAAAGGTCCATTAGCATGAGGAGTTGTGCTTCTGGCCATGATGCAGTCCAATAAAGACTCCGCTTACAGCTTTGTAAATTGAATTATTTGGATCTTTAACTGCCAAATGCTCCAATCAGTCACTACCACGGTTTTACAGCATTTTGGATTTTTAGCAGAGCCTGAACAATATACCATTTAAGAACCGATAGTGATATTAGGTGATTTTAAAATCTAATATTTTACTATATCGGCTGATATTTTTTTCCTGTCAGACACATGAAACATAAACAGATCCTCCCAACATTTGCTATGTGCTGATCGGCAAATAGCTAATATCGGCTGATGATATCAGCCCGCCAAAATATTAGTCGGGCTCTAATTTTTAAGATTCATCTGAGTTTTGTTTCTGTTTTTTGCTGAAAACAGCTGCAGTGCTGTGTGAAAATGAAACTGATGAGAGCAGCTATGTGAGTGAATTAAAACAGCAAAATTGTTGGCCATAAACGCGAAATGACATCCTGTTCTCGCTCCCAGCTGGTGGCAGCAGAGCCTGGTTCTGCCAGAGGTTTCTTCCTGTTAAAAGGGAGTTTTTCCTTTCCACTGTCACCAAGTACTAGCTCATAGTTGGCCATATGAATGTTGTGGTTTTCGCCCCATCATTGTAGCATCTTTAACTTACAACATAAAGCCCCTTGAGGTGACTGCTGTTATGATTTGGTGATTTGCTCGTGATAAACATTTCTCAAGTGATACTTCGACAATAATTTTCAACTTGCAGAGAAGAGTTCAACATCTGAAGATTCCCTTCTGGGATGGGTTTCATATCGTCAAAAAGGGTATTTAACCC